CCTGCTGATTCACGTTTTTACAAACAAAAAAAAATTCAATTTTTCAATGCTCATCATCTGACTCTGTCAGTCTCTGCCTTTAAGGAATGAAGAACACTGTAAAGAAATAGGTATATTACCTTACACTGACACCACTTGAAATGTATCATTACCTCATTTAATTTTTGAAGAAGCTCAGCCTCCATGAGAAATGATTTAAAAGTTTGGGACAGGAGATTTTCTAGAAGTGCTGAAGCACCTAAAGGCAGACTAGTAGTTGATTAGAAACCCTGCATCAGGTGAAGTCTGGATGCTTTTCAGGACGATATGCTCTACACACACAGGGCACGTTTACACGTGGCCGTACGGCACCTTTGTTACTGCGCCATCCTTTAGTACTTCCAGAAGTAACAGCCTGTACTGCACTGTGCTGACCACGCACAGTTATTTTTGACTGCTACATCACTGTACCAACGCACTATAATGAAAGAGCGCCTAGCTACAGTGACACAGCCATGGCATCATGGTTTTTGCCAACAGACGCTATGGCGCCTTAGCATCTTGTGTAGATGTGCCCACAAAATTATTATTATTTTACTTATTATTATTATTATTTCGCTTAGGAGGAAGTTATTTAGTTCAACACAGAAACAACTGAGAGAAAGATAATAGCCTGCGATGTATACGAAGCAAGACTAGAAGATCTAATGGTCCCTTCTGGCCTCACATTTTTTCATAAATTCAGAGTTCAACAGCATAACAGCGATGATTACCTGATGTATGGTTCCATCAATTTCAACAGGGACAATGAAATCCGCGTTGTTAATTGGCTAGAAAGAGAGAGACAGGGAAGTCAGTCCAAGGTTTCAAACAACCAGCTTAGCTAGCATTAGAGAAGGACATTTCTAAGGCATAAGAGAGAGATCGCGGTAACTGGAGTTCTTCAGGATCTCTCTTCTGCTGGTGGATCCCACTCTAGATGTACGCACCCCATGCAGGCATGTCTGGAATCTTTTACCCAAGAGCAGCTGTGGGAGGCTGTACTTTTGTCCTGTATGCCTCTGGATCCCAGACCTCACCCCGTAACCTAAAGAGGAGAGCAGCCCCAACACTGCTATTCAGGTTGGGGTTTTTTTTAACCCAGTGCTCACATCCAGTGAGAGGATTCCATGTCACCGAGAAAAGCAGGTGGATCATGACATCTGCATGGGAAGAGGCACCTCAAGCAGCTGCAGTTACTCTAAAGCAGGGGTTGCCAATTTTTTGCCCCTGTAGGTAGAAAATTGTGACCCAGGCCCCTGCTGCAGGCTGCAAGGCTCTGCCCACAGCTCAAGCCACCTGTACTTACTCTCACTGCAGGCACCCCATTCTCCTTCAGTAAGGGTAACTACAGGTATAAGCGAGCAGTAGAGAGAGCTGTGGAGGAAGATGCTGCAGAAGGGATGGGCAGCACGATGGAGCTGTGTGCCACCTGACCCTCCCATGCTGCCTCAGCCCAGGTTGGACTTTCCTGGGCTGGAAACAAACCTTTTTGCATGTTGGATGTGACTCCTCCTCTAAAGTGCTCTTTTTCAAGCACTGGTCCACACATATTTCACTCTAAGCAAGTGACTAGTAGTTAACTCTGAACATGGACCAACCTAAAATCTATAGCCCTTTAAACAACTTTAAAGTGCTATAAAAATGGAGTAGGATGATGAGACAGTGCTATAGTGCTACAAACCATCAGAAATGACCCTGGATGAAATGGGAAAACTCTGAGGCATTTCACAGTGACCCTGTAAACTGGGTGGCAGTTGTCAGTCCTTCTGGTATTGAAGCACTGAAGATTAAAGATCCTTCAAAAAAGGGAAGATTTTTGAAACTCTTATATGTATATCTGTCCATACCCTCTGAAGAAAGGGTGTCAAACCTGTCTAGCCCCAAGGGTTAGATGAGTGGTGTGGGGCTAGATGTCTGAGCACTGCATGCAACATAAGTCCTGGACCTGCTGGAGTGGGCACCGCACGTGGTGCAGTCTAACTGGAGAGGTTACCGTGTGTGGTCTGGCTGCCGCTCCAACGAGACTGTGCCGCGTACAGTGCAAGAATGACAATGAAGAGTCCAATGACTTGGGGGGGAAAAAAAAAAAATCACAGGTAAGCGGATAAAGTGGTCTGAATGGAACTCTGAAACAAAATTTGGCAGGTTTCAGCATAACTCCAGCTTTATGGAAATTATATTAAGAGGTGCAGACATGAAAGCCTGCGACTCACTCACCCTAAACAAACAAAGCAATGGCTGTTTAAAAACTCTGTCTTTATAGAAAGATGACATGCAGGATGTGATAATAGTTTCAAAGGAGGGTCCAATTCAAGACTTTAAACCACATTCATGTCCCAAGAAGAGAAAGGATCCCGATCTGGGGGAACAAATAAGAGGCACTCTAAAAACCAGGAATCAGGATGGTGATGGGGACCCTTCCCCCCAAATAATCAGAGTGAGATATGAAAAGAGTCGCCAACTAGTTTTAAGAAAAGAGAAACCAAAAGAAAAGAAGAGAGCCTGATGACCGAAATATTTCAAGGAAACTGTCCTAATTTGAGACAAAAAGGGCGCGTTTCCACTTTTTGCAGTTGTATATGCCTCTGCATGTGTGCTTTGGTGTGGGGCAAAATGCCCCACTTGGGGAAACTACCGTTTCTCCACTCCTCCTGGTTCCCAGCAGACTGGAGGAGCTGGGGCAGAACTAGAGGAGGGGAGATGCTCTGGCTGCCAGTCAGAGCATCTCCCAGGAGGACAAGGCTTTGTAAGGATGCTTCTGTGCCATGCACTACACCTTTTTTGCGGCAGTTTTTGTTTTGCTACCAGGCTTTTTAGATTTGCAAATCTGCTACTAGGGACATGTTTTAACATGCCAGGGAGGTGGTTTGTGGCACCACAAAGTTTGTGGTGCACAAACTGCACACGCCTGCATGTCTGGGTCTGGCCAAAGGGTCCTCTTGCTGGATACATCTCTGGTTAGACTATTAAAAAATGCTCCCATTCAGGTTTTGTAGGAGCTATGCTGATATGAAGACTTCCTGAACAGTTGAAGAACAGCTCCTCAAATGAAATCAATTAGCTAGAGTCTACTAACAGTTTCTGGGTGTTAAGTGCAACACTCAGTCCTGGAAAATGTCACAGGTTCAGAAGCAAAGTGGACAGACAATGTATTTCTCAATCAGAAAATGAACCTAAGCAGGTGCTATTAAAAATAGTGCTTAGGCGTTTCTACAAGTTAATTAATTTGCTGTAATTATGGCGCATTAAAATTTTGTACCTGTGGGCAGTTTTACACCTACTCTGGGGGTGGAGCGGTGCCTTAATTAGAGCAGCTCCGAGAGTCACTCTAATTAATGTGCTCCTGCATCTCCTGTATCAGTGCTCCCATGCTTAAAAATGGTGTCTCATTGAATGAGCTTTGGTTCAAGTGCCCCCACCACCATTTTTAAGCACAGGATTGGCAATTGCCATGTGCCAGCAGACTTGATTGAGTCTGCTCCAATGAACTGGAATTCTAGCACTTTGGAGCAGCCTCTGCACTCATGTATAGGCGGCCTAAAATAATAGGCACTAACTTAATGCACCGTATGTGCTGCTACTGCGCATTAGTATAGATGAACGCTTTTTATGCAACTCTTAATGCGCATTAGACTAATTCTCCTGAGCATTATCATGGTTTTTGCCAGATGTGCTAATGCACAGTAGAATTAGTCTAATGTTCATTAAGCATCTTGTATAGACGCACCCCTTGAGTTGTATTCATATGAATTTTCCTGAGTATTCTGCAAATGAAGAACTGAGGAAAGGAACACACTGGGTTTTGATCCCACTGAATCAGAAATGCCTGACAGATCTCAGATGCATTCTTTTCTGAAAGCAAAATATAGGAAATTCTTGGCATCTGTGCCAAAAAGATCCCTTCCATCCAAGTACTGGAAATACAGTTGAGCCCTAACACCGATTTGTAAGAGATGGAGGGTTTCCTATACAAGTGGCTTGCTAAACTGTGCTAAATTCTTGCCAGACTGAAAGCCAACAAGTTGATATGACAGTGATGCCCCATCACACAAAGAATACTTTTGTGGAATAAGAGAAAAATCTTCCAACCCTTCCATATTTTACTTAACATATTGCCACTGTATTTTCCATTCAGACCTGCATGGCAATATTCTGGGGTGTGGGCCAGATTACACTAAAAACTAGACAAGTGGCTCTCAACTCCAACACACACTTTCATACACATTTAATTTTCAGGGTACCTCAGACTGTGGATCTCAAGTTTCCCTGGATGAACACATTATGCTTGTTCAGATATTTATTACAATCTGGTGGGAGAAAACTGAGGATACCAAATTTCCCGATAACTGAAGGGCAACGGGGAATCTGTCCACCAACGAAGAGAAGCCTCTTTGGAGGAACCTCTCTTATGCGCGTCTAATGCATCTGCTTGGATGATAAACCAACCTTAACCATCTCCTGAAAGGGGCAGAAGAGGAGTATCCTATAGAGAGTCATAAAGACATGCTTGCAGGATGCAATAAGCTGAAGGTAAATGTTCACTGAGGTCTTTTTTTGGGACTGGACTGACTGAAATGAGTTATTTCAGAAAAAAATCTGCACTGAAACAGTAATGCCCTAGCCAAAGCAGAATTCAGACGTCCTCCTATATAGTCCACAGGCTGAAAGGGGGCCAGATGGCTTTGTTCCTGCCTGTCTTAAGGCCCAGGATGACAAAGAACTCCGTAAGTTCCCAAACTTGTCCTCAGCATGACCCCATTTATGCAACATGGCCGCTCTCCCCTGTGACCCCATCCGCTGATGTTGTGACCCCATTTGGGGTTGCAACCCACAGTTTGGGAACTGCTAAATTAACCTATGGTGACAAGGCATCAGAGGTCCAAAATGGGATCCCACTTCTCTCTCTCTCTTTTTTTTTTTAAATGAGAAAATAATGAGACCAGAACTCTTGGCCACCGAAGTCTGGATACACCACCTTCATTGGACTTCTAATTCTAGTGGCGAGTGACTGGAATTAACAGACAGGAACTGGACTGACCAAATCAGCAACGTAACCTTCATAATTCACTGGTCAGAGATAACTGCAGCCCCTGGCACTGCAAAATGGAGAAGATCTTAGATGTTGCTGTGGCTGGAGCAAGGGGTTTGACAAAATTCGCCTGCAGGTTCTCGGCTACTTGCCTTTCCTGGCAAGGTCATATGACCCCAAGTAAAAAATGAACATTTTATTAAAACATCCTTGAAGATCTTAGTGGTGCTCTGGAGAAGGAATACCATATACCAGCATCTTTTCAAAGTATCAAAGGAACTCTCTCTTTGAGATGGTCAAAATTTTAGGTAAGGACTGAAGCAATCTTCTGGACTGGTACCAGAGACGTGGAAACTCATGGAAAGTGAAGAGTCTAGCAAAGAAGTCTGGTTCTGAAGCAATAGCCATGTCTGCAGAACTTCAAAAGTAGACTACCAAACTTCAAGGGATGGCACCGATACAGTTGGTAAAGATCTTGTTGGTCCTGAAGCAGAGAACTTGGTAGTACCTGGTTGTTCGCTAAAAGTGCTGTACCACGGACACTGTAGTCTACGGCCGTGTGTAGACAAAACAAGGGGCGGGTTAAAATGCTTTTGCACTGCTTTAATGGTGTTGGTGTTTGCCCGTGTTGGCGGCGTATTGCACAGCAATTCCAGCCACTGTAGCAGATTCTGCAGTGTAACGTGCCTTAAATGACTTGTGACGCAGGAAACTAAGACTCCTCCAAGGAGTTTAATTTGCTGCCCTACAGCCGCGGAGCAAAGCAAGGGGCTCTGTGCAGCTCAGGGGCTCTGCAGGAAGCCCTGCAGGCAGCCTGGCAGCAGTCTGGGAAGGCACGCTCTGCCCAAGAAAAAATAAAAATAAAAAAAAGCGGTGAGCCTGATTTTTCCTCCCCTCCTTGGAGCCTGCCTGCCTCAGCTGAGTGGGGGCCTGGTACTTCCCTCCACAGCGGCGGTGCCCCCCGGGACCACCTGAGCTGGGTGCCACCTGCAGGGGGAGGGGTCCACCACTGTCACAGAGGGAAGCACCAGCCCCACCCCCACAGCCCAGGGACCACTCCACCTGCTGGCAGCCCACCCTCCCCTCCCCGCTGCCGGAGAGGCAGGTAAGTTCAGGTGTGTGCACGACACGGGGGTTTAAAGGGCCTTAAATTGAAGTGGTGTTTTCAAAAACCCACCACTTCAATTTAGGGCCCCCGTTTCATCTACACACACCCTACAGCACCAAAACCTAATGAATCAGTCACTACTGAATCAGTGCTACCTACTGAAGACTGCTTGTGCAGTACTGAGATTTGAAACGGGCTCAAAGTTGGCATAGATGCAGGATGCCAGCATGGCCTAGAAGAAACTGGCCTCAGAATGTCAGACTTATGCAATTCAGAGTTTTTTGGTCATTTACTAAATATGTTGACTGATGCCAAGCAGCCTCTGCGGAGGCAGTCCACCTGACCCACGCAAAGCAGAAAAGAAGTGAAGGTTCTATCTGTTTTTGATCAACAAGAGGTCTCAGAGAGGACCTTTTAGTATTGAAACCAAAAACACAATAAAACACCGGCTTCAATAGACTGAGTTTCTCTTGAGGGGGATCTTCAGAATAAAGATACATGCCTGACAAACCTCCTAGCACACAAGTTTTCAAAGCAAATAAAAATCTTAAAGGTGTGCATATTGCATGTTTATCCATTATGTGCAATTACCCTAAGTAAAATAAATTTTAGTGAGCTGTGCTAAACACGTGATTTCAAAACTGGGGAAGATCTTAAAACCAGGGCCCAAGATTCAGCTAGAAGTAAACCTCACTATGAAAAAGGGAGGGCCAAAAAAATTCTTGCTTACTTTCTTTCCCTCTCCCACAAAAGCTCTACCAACTAAAATAACCCTTAGTACAACAAAAGCAGCTACTCCTAATTATATGAGGGAAAGTGGGGATGCAGGCAGACACTAAAGATACCTTGTTGCTTAGGCAAAAGGAACTCAGTGGCAATTGAGACTGTTCTAAGATCTTTATATCCTCAAGTTTTATGGTTGCATGGGATGGTTTGGATAGGCATGATCCTGCCTCAGACAGGGGACTGGATTAAATGGCCTCCGGAGGTCCCTTCCAGCCCTATTCCTCCATGACTATAGCTCTAAGTTCGGGAAGAAGTGGGGAAACACAAACATCACTTCCAATAGACACTGAAAGACTCTGGACTTTGGCATGAAAGGCAGACACATTTACAGCGGGACCCACGTGAATACACGTACGTGTTACTGCGGAGTTGACTACTTAGTTCTGCAGTAAAGCATCACCATCTACACATGCAGTGTTATTAGGTCGCAGTAAACTAATTAACTCCACTGTAGGATAGTACTGCCTGACACAAGTACTACCCTGCAGTGGAGTTTAGTGCACCACAATGCACGTGTAGATGGTGACTGGGACTGGCTGAGGCAAACGGATCTTACAGTGTGGGGCTGCCTGCTGGTAGCCCTGCACTGTAGCACCCTCATGCCCCAGTCAGCACTTCCACAGCATGCTGAGCCAGGGCCGAGCAGCTCTGGGTTTGTAGGTTGACCCCCAGGCTGAACCACGCCGGCTCAGTGTACTTCAGTCCCAGGCATAAGTGTAAATGCTGCACTTGGGAGCAATAAACACCAGAGTTTATTCAGGCTCATTAATATCACGTGTAGATGAGCCCACTGAGCATAAAAGAGCTGGGTATAGAATAGGGAAAGTTGCCTTTTTTAATTTAAAACAAATGCTCCAGAGTACAGATAGAATAATACACTTTAGTCAGATTGAAAAAAATTTGGGGGAATTCAGATACTTCAGTGCCTGATTTACTTTACTTAGGATGGGGAGAAAAACAAGCATCTTCCTGCTTTATTTATGTATTATTTGCTTCCATTGCCACGTGATGGGAATTTACTCTGCTGCCATTTTGTAATGCTCTTCTCTCCCTCTCCTGCCCAAATACTCTGCAATCCTGTTCATCTAGAAGAAATTTAACACAATAAAAACTTTGAAGATAAGTGCAGTGGAACAAAGAATCTTTGAAGTACATGTATGTGCAATCTTCCACTCTGCAAAAGGGCATTGGACTATAAAATAAACAGAACTGAAATGATTTGAGAAAATACATTTTCAAATTAATTTAGTAACACGATGTCAAGATATTCACATCTTCTTCTCATTAAAGAACCATAACTTCACAACTCAAGGCCACTCAGAGCACTCAGTTAAATACTCAATACCAATTTGAGACTGATTCTCTGCTATTTTTGTGGATATGGTAACCTTCCTTGAAGACTGTTCTTTCCATTCCCCCCCCCCACCTATTCTGAGTTCTCTCTCTAAATAATGTGCCAGACGAACAAAAAGCTGCAATTGTTTCTTCAGTCAAACTGAAGGTATAATGCTGGTATAACACTTAAGACATTTCTCAAGTATAAATTCAGAAGTGGCTACAGAATAACAGGGGTTTGGTACTTGAGTCTGTTACATCTTTAGACTCAATTATGAAGTGAATAAAATTGCCACAGTGTGGAAGGCAAAACATTTCACAGCTTCAGCCTGACTTTGCATCACAGTAATATTTATTACAATATAGCCATAAAAGGTCTTTTTAAAAGTCAACCAAGAAAATTGGTTTCCAGATGCTGACCACTAAATGAAATGGGATTTAAATGTTCAAATGCTTTGGCAATAGAATGCTTACTAGGATTAAAACATGGTATTTATATTTGCAGTGAAATACATATTAAAACCAAAATAAGAAGCATTATAATGTTGGTGGTAAGTTGGAGCTGCTGCTGGAAGGAGAAGCACTAACACTGTTTATTTACCAGTGTATAAAATGAGATGATTATGAAAACTTGGAGATTCACAAAGCAAGAATACAGATAAAGCACGAGGCTCGTTTGCTGTGTCAGGGTTTTTTTCCCCCTCCCCCACTTTCCTTAGAAGCATTGAATGTTGGCTTTAGTCAAGGGAGAGGATTTTGATTGGGGTGTGCTAATGCTTTTGCTGGGAATAAAACCCAGAGGTTCCTGGCTACAGGTTCTTGCTCTTCTGCTCAGGGCCAGACTGATCACCACATTTGGGGTCAGGAAGGAATTTTACCCCACGGTCAGACTGCTAGGGATGGTGGGGGCTTTTGCATTCCTCTAGTGGGGGGTGTAACGCTCTACCTGGTAACGCTCAAGCTTATTTGAACAACTGTTGAAGCAGCAGAACGTTGGCCACCATTATGCTCTTGGCTTTACCTTTTGCAGGTTATAGCCCTATGCTTTGTGGTTGTGTGGCAGGGTTGATTGTGTAGTTTTAGTGACAGGCCAGACAATAGATTTGTTTAGGGTGGTTTGGATGGGGATGATCCTGCCTCAGGCACGGGGTCAAACTAGATGGCCTCTAAAGGTCCCTTCCAGCCCTACTTTTCTATGATTCTGTAACTGCAGCAGCATTCACGTTTCAGACGCAGTCCTACATGTGTTAAACTCTGACCCCTACTGGAACAGTTCAACAACTACTAAGGTAGGACTGAGATACAGGTCTTGTCTTATCTTCTTATGTTAGAGAACTCGCTCATAAATCAGAAGCCCTTTCTTTAGCAAGGTTTTTGACCAACCAAAATTAGGGCAAATCAAGGAAATAATGGTAAAACTGCCAAAAGAGGCAGTATAATCATCATCTTTTGAAAAAACACATTAGACAATGGGTTTACTGGGAATGAGAAAAGTAATTCTGGTACAGACAGACATATAAAATGCTTACAATTACATCTGATTTTTGAAGAGTTTTGTTTGGTCTTCAGCAGCACACAGATATACAGCTGCCTCCCAGATAAAGCGTCACTGTGAAGCACTTCAGAGTTATGCAGGGTCATTCTTTTTGTAACAGTTTAAGACAAATCTGTAGTGCAACAGCTTTGTGAGTCATCTCTCCACTCAATTTTTACAGCATTTTGAAGTTGTGTGAAGCACAATAAATGTCATTTGTCTCTGTCCTATGAAAACTGTCTTGCAACAATGCATGGAATCAAAGATGACTCAAAAGGTACCGTCTAAGCTTGTCAATTAGAAAAAGCAAACAAAGTGTCTTAACCGAACAACTTTTTTGGACAACGAGAGGTCAACATTCAATTAAGGAGCTGATCTAATTATCAGAACATTTTTGGTTGGCTTGTAAGTTAATAGCTTGAAGATTACTCTCTCTAAAATGATCACTAACATTCATACAATCAAGTCTCAAAGTCCACTTCAGAATTTATTTTACCTTAAATGAGCTGTGCACTAATGTTTCATCTAAATCAATGACCACACATTTCTTCCCATAGTCCGATGCTGTCAATTCTGGCAGGAGGTATTTAGCTGGTGGCTAAGGAAAAAAAAAAAACACATTGAAAATGTAAATATTTCAAGTATTAACCAAAGGTACAAACTGCCAGCACTACTATAGTAGCTCTGGGCATAAGGAGGTCACAAACACACAAGTCAAAGTTGGGCAAGCTCTTGGTTTTTTTGTTTTTTATATCAGTTGAACACAGCTGAAAATTAAAGGCGCATGCAATACACACACGCACACACATGAATTTCTGTATTTGTTTCTTTAATGAAGAGAAACAGTTTGGAGATGAGTTTAAGCAAATACAAATGAACATAGCAAAACAATTTGCTGCTAGACAGTGGTGAAAATGGGACAGTTAATAAGATGACTCACCATCTCCAACAGCTCATTTTCTTATGCCTCAAAATAAGCAGGAGATAGTTGCAACCTGTATCCTGCTTTCCATCTCAGGCTCCAATGCAACAATTGGAAGCATACATTTCTCTCCACAGGCAGGGGTGGCTGTGATGCTTACAGAAATCAACACTTCCATTTGCCATGATGCATGCTGAGATGAAGGAACTGAAAGATGAGTCCCAATTTTAAAGTCAAATGAGACTGTGTGGATTGTCATTTCCAGCATGGATCTCCCAAAATATCCATGCCTTTACATGGATTAGATGATCAGAATCAAAAGAATAAGACTGTACCCAATCTGTCAAATGCAGTTTTGCTAGAGTCCAGTACCAATCATAAAAGTACAATGCTTCCTAAACTGTACTGGGGAATTCCATAAAACTTCTCCCCAGAACAGTCTGTGAATGGTACCCATATCTTGAGGAATATAAAATGCAGCTGGGATAGATGACTGGGGTAGGAGGGAGATAAATTAGCAGCCCAATCCCCACCTGATACCAGTTGTCATCACTTGTTTCCCAAGTCTGAAAATACTGGAAGAGAAGGAAAGCATTCACTTGAATGCTTACTGGAATTCAGACATTAATATGCTGCCACTCTCCTAAGGGAAACTTTTAATGAAAGAAAGGGGCTAGTTCTGAAAGCAAAGGAATTTTCAGGTCAAGTGTATAAAGCCACTCAGTATGTTAGGAACCAGACATGGCAACGAGTTTCAAAAAATCCACAAGTGAGGGCTAAAAATACAATGATTTTTACCAGGATGAGGCAAAGTCCCAGTACAGGCAGTCCTCAGACTTACGACACAATTGGTTCCTGAAAACCGCATCTTCAGTCGAAACGTTGCAACTCGGAACTGATTTTCCCATAGGAAACAATGTTATAAATGGGGGATTGGTTCCTGAACCAAGGCCCGATACCCTGTTTTCACCAAAAATAACCCAGAATTTTGTACTCAATCAATTATAGATGCGTAATATAGCTACATTAATGTGTTTATATTGTAAACAGCAATCATATTGATTTGGAAGGACTTCTTTGGAGGGGACTTTGTTGGACTTTTTGAAGGGCTCTTGGCTGGAGTCTTCCCAGAAGTCTCAGCTGCAGGTTTTTCTGGAGGCTTGGCTGCTTTCTTAAAGGAAGTGTGCAAGGAAGTTTGGACAGATGTTCTCCAGGGAGAAGGGCAATGCAGCGAACTTGTTCGCTAGCATGGTGGCGCATCGGATCAAGCGTTGTAACGTCCAAGCTGACATCACAAAGTTGAAACAGGGTGTCAATTTATAAACTTCGTAAGTGCAAAACGTTGCAACTCGAAACATTGCAAGTTGAGGACTGCCTGTACTTCATCCTTCCTCTAGTGTGTACAGGGCCCATCTACACAGTAAAGTTTTTCAGGTGTGAAACTCTTAATACTTGTATCTTTAGCTCTATTTTGGTATAACTGAATGCAAAAACATAAGGTCTTTCTAACACGTATACACATTTTAATTATCAGGACCAGAAAGGCAAACTGATCAACAGTGTCATTTTTTGCTTCCTTAGAAAGCAAAAAGGTTAACTTACAATATACGCTGCTATAAGCGTTCAAAACATCCATCCACTGACATTCAGGGACTCATAATGTTGAGCAGAAGAGCGATGCATGTGTGCATACATATTTTTGAGACACTTTGTGAAGCACCTTCTTGTTGCCTTTTACGGCAGTAGCCTGAGAGACCCGAGGTCACTACTGTAAACTGTACTAGGGTCAGCTAGCTGTATAAGATTACTGCTGTGTACAGGGTTGCAGCCGGAGAAGAGTATTCTGTAGTTTATCACTGTTTTATTTCAGCTGTCACAATATATTTACCATAATTCTTAAAGACAAAACTCTTACTATAAACCATCAGTTAGAAATCTGAAAGTACTTTCTCTCAATACTGTACACTTTTCCTGTCTGTGCACTTAAATATTCAGTGCATCCCATGAACGGAGGAAAGATTCCCAGGTTCACATTAACTGCGTGTGTTGACTCAACAAATGGATAAATAAAAAAATTCTCAAGACAAGTCAAATGACAGGTCATGACATGCTAAAATGTGAACTTCAAAATACTTGTTACCTCTGTAATAAACCCCCATTTGATAAATGTATGTAAATTTAACCCTAGCAAGTGTTGCTTTCAATCAATTAGCTTCTCAAATACTGTTAAGAATTTGAAATTACTACTATAAAATCCTCAGATACATAATGCTCTTGGGGGCAGTGGGCACAGGGGGAAGAGGGAGATGGGAGCATTCATTGTTGGTCCAACTTATGCCACAGAAGTCACTGAGAGTTTCCTGAGACACAAGGCACGAACAGACAAATGTTTCAAGCACTTTAAGGAGTTTAACTGAACTACAAATTAGCTTGAGCCATATATAAATGTCACTATACAAAAAACAGGGAGAAACTCTAGAGTGCTTCAGAGTGACACGTTGGCTGGGAGGCAGTTTTTAATCTGCACACTACAAATTAAAACGCTTCAAATTCTACCTTTTTAAATATGTTACATGTATGCCTGTCCAAACCCTTATTTATAAAACGCTTGCCTTCAAGTCTCGTTTGTTCCTTAGCTCAATTTCCCTCAGTGCCCGTCTAAAACTGATCTACAAGAAATAAAATTGTACTGTAGCTGATGAGGTTTGTAGCATGCATACAGCTCTAGACAGAGGAGATTTTGTATGCCAGGTATGATCCAATACCCAAACATAAGGTCCGCTTGAGGCTTTTACTGTTGGGGTCAAGATTCACGCCTTTTCTTTATTATCTGCATTACAGCAGTACCTACAGCCTCAACTAAAATAGGTTCCTTTATTAGCAAAACAGTGCACTAACATAGTATACCAGAAAGATATTTAGGTACTTAAGTTCCACTGAAAAAAATTAAATGAAAGTTTGGCACCTGCATATTTTTCTCGATCTGGACCCTACCTCTTAACAAAAACACTTAATGTAAATGAGTGATTCACAACCAGGGTGCCATGAGACACTTTCAGGGGGATGTTCACAGCTAGGTAACACTACCCTAAGTGCCTCGAGTAGAGCCAGATCAGAAAGTGGCTGTGGCAAGAGCAGACACTCCTGCCAGCCTAAGGTCTATCTGTTAAACACTGGGAGTTTGTGACAAAGGGACTCCTACCTGCGTTAGGTTTACCTAATAAGCATAACGATAAACTAAAAAAACCTTACAAGGCAAACCTAATGCCGGTGGGAGCATCTGCTCTTGCTTCAACCCTTCCTGGTCCAGCCCTGCATGCGCCTTCTGGAAACAAACAGGCAGGACAGTTCTACCTGGTGGTGGCGACAACTCGGACAAACACAGGAAACAGATAAATCTCCAGGCTGCAGTCTCACTGCTTGGTGGAATCACCCCAAGCACCTATTTCTGGGAGGAACATGCAGGGTTGGAGCAGGAAGGACTGAGGCAGGAGTGGGTGATCTGGCTTCCAGATCTAGTTTTGCATGAAGCTCACAGAGCAGATCCACTTGGTGGCAGTGGCAGCGACAGCATCAGGATCAAGGACCACAGAAGTAACCCAAGGCAGTACAGCAGTGGTTCTCAGCTGGTGCTGAATTCAGAAAAAAGTTAAATAGGATGCCTCAAAACTAAAAAAGGCTGAGAACCACTGATCTCAACAGACAAGGCAGAGTAGGGAAAAAGTTTTCTTTTCTCATTTTACAGCTGGCAAAGACAGGTTCAGTGCCCTGCCAGAGACAGCTTGTGACCAATGCCCTGTCCCTCCTGGCCAGCAAATACTGGGCTCCCTTTCTCACCAATTTGGAGCTCTGTTCTCCAGAGTCAGTCTATGATGAGGGGTTCAAGCCTGTCTCCACTACGCATTCTCATTGTTCTTACGGTCCAACACACTTCCTCTACACAGCATTCTCCTTTATCTTCAAGAGCCACAATCACAGCATAAATTTACCCGCCTTCGTTATGAGTCAGTGGAAGAGCCACCTGAGTTGCAGCTATATTTGATTTAAATCTCATCATGCATTAAAAGTGAAAAGCCTGAAGTGACCAAAGCTACACACTAAATTCTGTCAATAATTTGCATGTCTGGGGATTAGAAGAAATAAAGCAACTACTCTGGTTCTCAATTCATTTGTTCTCCATATTGAATTCTATTTCTGTGTTGCGAGAGAACACATGAAGACTTTTTATTCCTCCAGCACTAAAGGGTTGGGTTGAAACATGAATGAAAAAGATAAGGCTTCACAATTTCTGCATGAAGTAAATCTCTTGATTGGGAATGTAATGTGAGGATGTGATTTAAAGAATATAAAGAATACTCCTATGCAGCCATAACTCATTTATGCAGATGCCCAAATCTTCTAATAGGAGTCATTTTCACATTAAGTGTAGCAAAGTTAAAATCAAAGATCACAAAGGAAAAAAAATAATTTATGCACTATCGAAAGTTAAAATCTATTCATAATAGATTGAATAAGAGGGAACGGGAGAAATATTCAGGAAGGTTCATGATTAATAGAATTCTATCCAAGTTATCCTTAAATGAAGATAAAATTGAAATATTAAATATTTTAAGAGCTCATGTTCTTTACCAGTTTAACTAAATTTTCATAAACATTTTAGTAAATACAGCACATAACACAGCAATTCACTCACTACACAGCAGAATCTGGACTGTGCTATTTCTCCAGAACTGAGTAGAAAAAGCCAATTATGATATCTCAGATACCACCATGCGGAAACTGTGGATCAGATGTTTTAAGTGAGAAGAAACATAAATACTCAAATGAGTCAGTTGTGTTACCAAAGATCCACATTTCCTGTAGATGCAGGTTACTGCAGGTACTGTAGCTTTTTAGACTGTGGAAGTAGTCAGTGGTCAGGGCTTTAGTATCCTGTGCAGGTTTCCTGATTGCTGGCTGGCGCAATTGTTTTCTAGAAGCAACTACTGCCCACGAGTTTCAAGTCAGTTGAAGAAATACTGCATTTTCTGTTACAGCAAGCAGGAAATCCTGTTTTCTATTTGAAGTATAAACAACTGGCAAACACCAAGTCTTCAAGAATTCACTATATAAAACAAACTCTAAACCCCCAGAAAACATCAAGGTTAAAGGGGTCTTTCACTACACTTCACATCCTGTCTGCCGTACAGTGCAATGTGTGTTCCTTTCCTCTTCACGCTCCCTGCACTTTACTTCTTGGTCATGCACAGAGGCAGCATGGTGAGCAGTCTCTCTTTGAGCAGTTCCCCCCCAAAAAACAAATAAGATGCAAAAAAAATGCCGATTTAAACTCGGTATTTACTTGCCCACCAGCAAAACCAATTTCTGTTCAAATGTAGATGATCAATTCTAATAAACACATTAACAAGCCTGACTTTATTTCCTCGGGGGGGAGGAGGGGGCATCAAGGGATGAAGAGGAGGGATATTTTTTTTCTAGGTAGAAAGATACAATACTTTGACTTCTATAGCAGCCATACAGTCAGCACTTCCGACTCGTCAGTGCTTTCATTAAAAAAAAAAAAATCCAAAAAAAAAAAATCACTATGGTTATGTTTTATTATTTAGGAAGTAATACATTCGAAGCGGGGTGCCCAATCTCCAGCCCATAGGTGAGATATAGCCTACAGGCCCAGGCCCTCTGGGCTGCCCATGCATCTGGAAATTTGGCTGTGGGAGAGTGGTAGCATAGCTCCTTACCAAATTTCTGGACCTCAGTCTGGGATGATCTAGTTGGGGCTGGTCCTGCTTTGAGCAGGGGCTGGACTAGATGTGACCTCCTGTGGTCCCTCCCAACCCTCACTTTCTGATTCTATGAGCTTAATTGGGTGCCTCATCCCAGCACGGAGGGCAAGGTGGCAGTGGTGCCAGGCCCCAATCCCTGTGCACTGGGGTGGTGCCAGGCCCCTGGGGAATAACTCCCTGTGGGAGGGGCTGGCAATGTCCCCAGGGCCCAATCCCAGCATGCTGGTGCAGAAGGGGCAGTGCCAGGTCCCTGGGGCACAATACCCGGGAGGCAGGAACAGTGCCAAACCCTCGGGGCTCAGTCCTGACACATGGGGGCTGGAGGGGGCAGTGCGGGGCCCTAGAGTTTCCCCGCAGTGCTCAGGGCAAAGAAGGGACAGTGCAAGGCTCCAGTGCTTGATCCTGGTGCACAGGGCTCAAATCCAGCCTGCGGATAAGTCCCGCCCCACTCATCTGGCCCACAGAGAGAAAGAGTCCAGCTCTCCTGCTTTGGAAGAATTAAAATGAAAGAAATCCAGGAAACAAGGCCATTCTGAACTGCAGGTTCCCTGCCACTGTTAGCCCAGATAACAGGCTTCCCAGGACTCCACTGCGTCTGCAAGCTCTACATAACCCAATTTGGTCTTCAGAAGAGGAAAAAAAACAACCATCCACCCACCCACCCACCCACCCACCAAAACAGTTTGCCTTCCTAGATAGTCACTGAACGACCAAAACCAATTAATTAAAATCTGATTTCTAAAATGAAAATATGAATGACCTTATATGGCTGATTAACTTATAGGTATACTGGCAGTGGAGGTCTAAGTTATATATAGGAACTCTCAAAAATTAAGGTTTCTTATGAAACTTAATCTCTGCCCTTGTGTGTGAGGATATTACAATTCAGGCTGTAGTGACGTGTTCACAAACTGACACTTTCCTGTATCACTCGACTATCGTGAAGATGAACTCATTAATGTACATCCATTAATGAAGCACAGAAGTCAATTAATTAAGACATTTTCTTCTGAGGAGCATGCAGATGCACTACAGGAGACATTAGGCCATGCACATGACCAACAAGGTTCCCAACTCACTGAGCCCCATCCATCAAGTACCATCCACCACGAGCACCAAAACTTGATCATTACGTTTTGCTAAATCCCCCAAATTTGATAAGATAGCTATGTGACTTATGTAATGTTTTTGTAGATTTATAAAACATTTCTTAATAGGCAAATCCAAGAGTGTTAGACTACTCACTCAAAGTGCCCTGTTTAAGATGTCTCTATTAAATCTAGAATTTTGGAAAGTAGTATAATTATGTGTTTG